CTATATATAACATATAGACACACAGACGTAAAAATACAAAATATATTGACTTTGCTTTTAAATTTTAATTAATACATATGTAGCTTTATTATAATACACCTTTATATTCAAGATCCGAAAAAGTCAACGTGTTGATCTTGTAAAGTGTATCACCTAACGCATCTTTTTCTAATCCAAATATTTTAAAGCAAAATCCAAAGAAATCGTACAGTATTGCAAGTGCATCAGCTACCGGGTTTTTTGAAGTTTCAAAGAAGCCAGTGTGCTGTGTTTTTTTTTTTTTTTGCATTTTGATCCAAGATTGAAAAAGTCAATGTGTTATTCTTGTAAAATACATTACTAATATATCATGTCAATTTTTAAAAGCAAATTCAATAGAAGTCTTATAGTATTCTTACTAATGTGTCTTGGCCTTAATGATATTGCAGGTTCCTTAGTGAATACAAATTACTGTATATCAAATAGCAAATAATAGAAAAATTTAGAAGGCTTATTAATTTGAAAAATTGCTAAACACTTGAGTATTAGAAGATCTCTATAAGTTGGATTCTCAAGTACTTTTAAAGATATGAATGCAAAGAGTACCGTTTTTAGACAAGACATCCCAATTTTTTTTTTTAATATAGTAGCGATCATTACTTCCTGTATCTTGATTGTGTGCTTCATTTGTGATCTTTTGAGAGTCTTTAACATTTTGTAAAAGTCCCAATAACAAATTTGAGTATCACGTTTAGCTTATCCGATTTAATATTTACTTTATATCTTTTATTTCTCAGTTGTTTGTATAATTGTCAGTTTTATGAAGAAAATAATAAAACTATTAAATTTTTTATTATTGTATCATTGATCGATATCAAACTTTGACATATGTACATTTTAATCAGTATAAATTTTTAATAAAAATCTTTATTTCAAATATAAAATAATTTATTACACAATAAAAAATTTGAATTTACAAACTTTACTATTCTTAATTAAAGTACCTATCTTTATTCTTCTCTATTACTATTAGTACTATTCTCACTATTCTCAGATAATATATTTTTTATCTCCTAAAGAATATTTATTGAGTCGTCACAAGATTTACTTAATAAACCATGAAAGCGAGATCGATCTGAATTACCTAAAAGAGAAACTAAAGAGTTAATTATTAATAAAATTTGTGGTTTCTTTAAAGAATTCTCATTCTTTTGACAATTTGCCTCTTCAAGTATTACTGGAATTAGATGCCAAATGCCTAATGATGTTTTGTTAATAAATTTTGCATTAATAAATTCAATTCTTTTAATACGCGCAATTTCATTAAATCTTTTCATTTCTTCACTTAGTATCCAATCTCCACCCATATTTTGAAAAATACAATTATTGCTATTCGGATTTACAAATTGGGTTTTTCTTAACTAAAACTGAAATTGACGTGATTTAGCAGTAAAGCCAGGATATATATGAGGTCTATGAGTTTCTTTTTCAGAATATCCTATGATATTAAAAAGGCTAGTATGTAATTTCAAAAATTTAATACAATTACGTGCTGCAATTTCCCAATAATGTTGTGAAAGTATAGGTGGAATTAAAGCTTTGAGTGATTTATTAATTTCTTCAAGGATTGCATCATGGCCTTGATGTTGATTTGGGAACTTAGACCAAGAAGTCATAATTCTTTCTTGAATTAACTTGCAAATGTCAGGTTTTAATCTTAACATTTGTTCTTCATCAGCAATTTCGATTAGTTGATAAATTGGATGTCGTCAAACAGACCAAATAGGCGCAAATATTCACCTTGCCGCATGTCTTAATGAAGGTCTATTAGAACGAACTCCAGTACAAACGTTAATAAT